GGTTTGAAAAATCATAACAACGATGTTTATGGAAATTAAGAAATTATTTATGGCACACCCAATCTTAATTAAATTTGCTTTAAAATGTTTCTTATTTCACCAAGATATCTCAATCCGTTCTTGAGATACGATCTTTTATATTACTACTTTTACCATTTATAACAATCTAATATAAAGGGTTGTAACATAAAATATCGTATCTCAAAAACGGATTGAGATATGATGATGAAATAAGAAACATTTTGGAGGAAATTTCTTTGAGATTGAGTGTGCCATAAATAATTTCTTAATTTCTATAAACACTATTGCTATGATTTTTTAAACCCAACTCAACTCTACACATTTGATTGTTATAAAAATGAGTAAAAAACGAGATGTAAGATTCTTTATCTTTATCTCATGGTTATTTGGAGAAAATATTAATATTAAATTCTTAAAATGATCTTTGTTTCATCACTATATCTCAATTTGTTCTTGAGATACAATCTTTTAAATTGATGCTTTTAAAATTAACAAAAACCAAAGTGTTAAGTGGGATTTGAAAAATCATAACAACGATGTTTATGGAAATTAAGAAATTATTTATGTCACACCCAATCTTAATTAAATTTGCTTTAAAATGTTTCTTATTTCACCAAGATATCTCAATCCGTTCTTGAGATACGATCTTTTATATTACTACTTTTACCATTTATAACAATCTAATATATAGGGTTGTAACATAAAATATCTTATCTCAAGAACGGATTGAGATATGATGATGAAATAAGAAACATTTTAGAGGAAATTTCTTTGAGATTGAGTGTGCCATAAATAATTTCTTAATTTCCATAAACACTCTTGCTATGATTTTTTAAACCCAACTTTACACGTTTGATTGTTATAAAAATGCGTAAAAAATGAGATGTAAGATTCTTTATCTTTATCTCTTGATTATTTGGAGAAAATATTAATATCAAATTGTTAAAATCCAGACTTATTTAATCTTAGAATCGTTTTGTGAAGAACGTTGGAGGAGTTTCGTTTTAACAAAAAAAGAAAGTTAGAAGCAAGATTTTAGAAATGAGCATTTCTCTGAAATTGTAACAAGCTGTGGAGTTCCGTCGGACTCCTCGAGCACTTCAAGATATCTCAATCCGTTCTTGAGATACGATCTTTTATATTACTACTTTTACCATTTATAACAATCTAATATATAGGGTTGTAACACAAAATATCGTATCTCAAGAACGGATTGAGATATGATGATGAAATAAGAAACATTTTAGAGGAAATTTATTTGAGATTGAGTGTGCCATAAATAATTTCTTAATTTCTATAAACACTCTTTCTATGATTTTTTAAACGAAACTCTACATATTTGATTGATATAAAAATGAGTAAAAAACGAGATGTAAGATTCTTTATCTTTATCTCATGGTTATTTGGAGAAAATATTAATATTAAATT